GAATGCTCCAACAATGGAAGTTTTTAAGAAGAGACTGGACAGCCATTTGCCTGAAATGGTGTAGGGTTCCTGCCTGAGCAGGGGGTTGGACTCGATGACCTCCAAGGTCCCTTCCAACTTTATTATTATTATTATTATTATTATTATTATTATTATTATTATTATTATTATTATTACTCGCAGACTCTGGGTTTTTAGCCTCGTGCCTTAACTGAACTGGCCTCTTATACCAGGGGTCCCCAAGCCCCCAGGCTACGGCCCGCTACCGGCCCACAATCCGTTCAGAATCGGGCCACAGAAGCAGTGGGTGAGCACGCGCATGTGCGCAGCTCCACTTGTGCACGCAACAGGCGGGCGAGCATGTACACGTGCGCAGTTCCATTTGTGCAAGGGGTGGGCACACGCCGCGCGTGCAGAACCGTCCCCTCTCCCTCCCCCCCCCCACCGGTCCTCAAGGCTGGACAGGTTGGAGGCAGCTGCCTTGTACAATTGTCGTGCAAAGGCCCAGTGACGCCAAACAGCTGTGGAAAGCGTCTCGGGAGGGACTGTCCCTCGTTTTCTGGGAAGTAGAAGTAAAAGAGGGGAGAAATGGTTTGTGAGTTGCAAGATTCTTTCACTGTAACCTTACTCATAAAGGTAGTGTTAGTGCTCACGTTTGGTGAGTACCGGGCTACCTGACAGTGGAGCAAATGAAAAATGCGGCATGCTTTGATTGAACATTTTATAGAAGGAAAAGATTCTGGGCGTGCCCAGTATCAAGCATAGTTCTTGCACACTGCTCTGTTAGTAATGTAGAACAGCGACCCCCCCCCAACCTTTTGGGCACCAGGGACTAGTTCCATGGAGAAAGGTGTTTCCACAGACACAGGAGGTGTGTGTGGCTTCGCATGCTGCCTGCATCCCGCAGATGGGGCTTGTTTGTACGGCCCAGGTTTTGGCATGCCACAGCCAGGTGCTGGTCCACGGACCAGGGGTTGGGGACCCTTAATGTAGAGTGACGATCAAGGAGAAGATACATATTATTAGTTATTGAGGTACGGAATAAGGTTGTAAGGAAGAGCTTTTATATATTACTAGCTGTACCCGGGGCGTTGCTGTGGCTCAGTCTGGTAAAAGCGTGTGTTGCTTTTATGTCCAACAGATGGCGCTGTTTTTCAAAAAAAGCATGTTTTTACCTGTCACAGGTGTGACACCTATATAATATAGGTATATAAAAACTCGCGCATATTCGAATGCAACGTTGTGTCAAAATTTCAAAGCAATCAGTGAAGAACTTTCGGAGATTTAAGATTTTGAACAAACGAACATTTACATTTTTGTTTATATAGATGAGGCAGTTTGGTGGCAATAATTGAATTGTTAGGGAGGGGTGATTTAGAATGATTTCAGAAGAAAAAAAGAGAAGAAAATAGAACCAAAGCACATATATTTATTTCCTTTTTGATATGGGAGACCCAAGAGGTATCACTTCCTGGCTGCTCAGAATAGATAGTTAGATAGATAGATAGATAGATAGATAGATAGATAGATAGATAGATAGATAGATAGATAGATAGATAGATAGATATAGATATAGATATAGATATAGATATAGATATAGATATAGACAGACAGACAGATGATAGACATGATAGATGATCGATAGATTAGATAGATAGATAGATAGATAGATAGATAGAAGATAGATAGATAGATAGATAGATAGATAGATAGATAGATAGATAGATAGATAGATAGAGATAGGTAGGTAGGTAGGTAGGTAGGTAGATAGATAGATAGATAGATAGATAGATAGATAGATAGATAGATAGATAGATAGATAGATAGATAGATAGACAGACAGACAGACAGACAGATGATAGATAGATGATAGACAGATGATAGATAGGTAGAGATAGATAGACAGACAAATAGATGATAGATGATAGACAGATGATTGATGATAGATGATCGATCGATAAATAGACAGAAGGATAGATAGACAGATGATAGATAGAGATAGATAGATAGATAGATAAGATAGATAGAGATAGATAGACAGACAGACAGACAGATGATAGATAGATGATAGATGATAGACAGATGATTGATAGGTAGAGATAGATAGACAGACAGACAAATAGATGATGGATGATAGACAGATGATTGATGATAGATGATCGATCGATAAATAGGATAGATAGATAGATAGATAGATAGATAGATAGATAGATAGATAGATAGATAGATAGATAGATAGATAGATAGATAGATAGATAGAGATAGAGGTGTGTGTGTGTGTGTGTGTGTGTGTATGGGGAGAGAGAGAGGGAGAGAGAGAGAGAGAGAGAAGATCATGATGATGTGAACAGTGTGACAAAAGAAGAGCTTTTAATCTTTTCTAAATGATTCTCCTTAACAGTTTTAGGATGCTCTCTGGACCCAGTAACTAGCTAAAATCTGAATTGAGCAGCAGGGCCTTGAGAGAAAAAATACGCTATTATGCTGCAGTAAATTCCATTGGACTCTGAGGCAAGTGAAGGACCAGCAACACTGAGTGATTTGAACGGGAAGAGAATGTACAAGGAAAGGCTTGAACTCTTCTGCTGAAAATGGTCGCTTCTTTGTGTTTAAAGTGACGAGGGCTTCCTTACGCCCTCCTTCACGTTGTGCAGATGCAGTCCTTTCCTGTGTAGAGAAAAGGGACAGTCCGACAAGGACGAGTTTGCAGGGTTATGCAGAGTACTTTTGGGAAAGGGTTATCAAGCGCACGAAATCAGGAACCGAGGCGCTTCGAATGAATGCGGGTTTATTGCAAGCTTATTCTTTCTCTACAAGAATCTGGACTACTAACGATCCAAACAAATTGGTGGTAGCTAAGAGTCAAAGGAATTCAAGGTGGGCTGGGCTTCAGATTTCTTGTGGGTATGAAGGAACTCGAGATCACGGATGACCACTTGACCCCTCCCTCGGGCTCATTCATCTCCTACAACAGTGGTTCTCAACCTTTTTAATGCCGCGACCCCAACCGGTCGTAAGTCGAGGACTAAATCGGTCGTAAGTCAAGGACTAAACCGGTCGTAAGTCGAGGACTACCCAACCGGTCGTAAGTCGAGGACTTTCCCTGCCCGGGAGCACCGCGCATGCGTGGTTCCGCCCCCTGCGCCAGCCGAGGCATAGCTGGCAAGCGGCAGAGACGGAGCAGGCCGACCACCAGCTGGCCCAGCCCAAGGGAGGTAAGGCACCCGCCGGAAAAGGGGAAAAAATGACGGACAAAAAAATGGCGGACAAAAAAATGGCGGACAAAAAAAATGGCGGACAACCTTGCTTGGCGACCCCCGTGAAATGGTCGATTGACCCCAAATGGGGTCCCGACCCACAGGTTGAGAACCACTGTCCTACAAGGATGCTGGTTACAAACGAAGCAGCCCTCCTTGAACCATTAAAGCAGCTACATTGGCTGTGGTTTTGCCTCCCTGCCTCCTCCCTGACTATCTGCAGGGATGTGGAAGTTTTTTTTTGCTGACCATGCACACATCTGCACAGACAAGCGGTGACAAGCCATTGAAGGAGCTGGCGGTGAACTAACCCACTTGACGTAGGTCAGCCAAGAGCTCATATATTAGATTCATTTTTTTCTCTCCCAATTTCAGGCTGTTTCTCAGTACACCGTTGCAGAAGTGTCTTTCGGCAGAAAATAATGGTTTTATTGAGTTTCTGAAAGTTCAGTAAGATGTGCATGGAAAAGATTTTTAAAAGCATTAATAAAGCTTGTTTTCAAGTTTCCCAGTCTGAAGCCAATAGAAAAGAAACGTAAGAGGGGAAAAAAAATCTAGTTAATGCATATCCATTGGAACTCCTATACATTTCCCCTAATGTACAAATACTTAGCTATTTAGAATAGAATAGAGCTGGAAGGGACCTTGGAGGTCTTCTAGTCCAGCCCCCTGCTCAAGCAGGAGAACCTATACCATCTCAGACAAGTGACTGTCTAGCTTCTTCTTAAAAATCTCCAGTGATGGAGTGCCCACGATTTCTGGAGGCAGGCTGTTCCACTAGTTGATTGTCCTCCCTGTTAGGAAGTTTCTCCTTAATTCCAGTTTGCTTCTCTCTTTGTTCAGTTTCCAACCATTGTTTCTTGTCCTGCCCTCTGGTGCTTTGGAGAATGGGTTGACCCCCCCCCCTCTTCTTTGTGACAGCCCCTCAGATACTGGAATACTGCTATCATGTCTCCCCTATTTCTTCTTTTCTTCAGACTAGCCAAACCCAAGTCCCGCAGCTGTTCTTTGTGTTTTAATCTCCAGGCCTTGGATCATCTTAGTTGCTCTTCTCTGAATTTTTTCCAAACTCTCAACATCTTTTTTGTAGTATGGTGACCAAAATTGGCTGCGGTATTTCAGGTGTGGTCTCACTAGGGTTTTATAAAGCGGTACTAATACTTCGCGTGATCTTGATTCTGTGCCTCTGTTTATACAACCCAGGATTGTATTAGCTTTTTTGGGGGGCTGCCTCTGCACATTGCTGGCTCATATTCAAGTGATCATCCACTAGGACTCCAAGGTTCCTCTCACAGTTGCTGTTTTTGAGCTGGGTCTGGCCCAATCTGCACTTGTTCCTTTGATTTTTCCTGCCTAAATGTAAAACTTTGCTTTTCTCCACATTGAAACTCATTTTGTTGGATCACAGGGCCCGTTGTTCAAGTTTGTCAAGATCTTTTTGGATCCTGAGTTTGTCTTCTGGGGTGTTGGCTACTCCTGCCAGTTTAGTGTCATCTGCAAATTTGATGAGTTCCCCCTTCTATTCCCTCATCTAAGTCATTGATGAAGATATTGAAGAGTATTGGGTCTAAGATGGAGCCTTGCGGTACCCCGCTGCTTACTTCTCTCAATTTGGATGTAGTGCCTGTTCATTGTGAATGTAGCTCTTTTAAATCAATCCAGCATCTGATTTAAAATCCAGATACAAACATGGACTCCGGGCACGATTTATAATACCCGTTCTCTCTTTTTGTTCTAGAGAGCATGACTTCTGCAACTTCACCCATCATTTTAAAATGGGATCCCAAAAGTTTGGAAATCAGGACTCTTACTGTGGAGAGATTATTGGAGCCACTCGTTACACAGGTAAGTTGTTAATGCAGCTTTACGCATTCATTATTGTTCCTCTGCTAAGGCTTAGCGTACTTATTTTTAACCAGTGTTTATATTGCAGTTGCATTTGCCAGCTTATGACAAGAACAGTAAGGTTTGTCAAATAAGGATTTTAATTGCACTCTGTAGTGTGTATCTTTCAGATTTGGTTTTGGTTTTCTGAAAAAATAGTTAAGCCATCTTTTAGAGCGCATGGAAACATACTTGAAATTATTTTGTGCCTGGTGAGTGGAGGTGACTTGTCAGATTTTTAGTATTATGTATGTGTACACTTTTGAGAGGAAGCAACTAAATTTCATTTTTAATGTGGGCCATTGTGCCCACAGGAACAAATGACAATAAAGGTTATCTAATCTAGTGTATACTGCTGCTACCAATGCCTTTGAAGACTTGATAGATGACATTGTTCATCCAAGAAGCTCGGAGCACGCCAACTCTGCAGGATTAAATCAGCCAAGTGGATGTTATGGGAGATGGGTAACCTCTCAATTCACACGGCCCTGTGGAATGTAGGGTTTCATAGGTATCAACCAGCACCTTGAGTTGCACCTGGAACCAAATCAGCAACCAGGGCAGCTGATGAAGCTTATTATTGCTTGCAGTGCCACATTCTGAACCAGCTGAAGCTTCCAAGTGGTCTTCAAGGGCAGCCTCCATTTAAAGCACATTGTAGGAGCCAAGCTGTTGGGTGACTAGGACAGGGTCTTCAAACTTGGCCCTTTTATGACTTGTGGACTTCAACTCCTAGAATTCCTCAGCTGAGGAATTCTGGGAGTTGAAGTCCACAAGTCATAAAAGGGCCAAGTTTGAAGACCCCTGGATTAGGACATGAGTGACTGGTTGAAGGGTCCCCTGATCTAGGAAAGGACACAACTGGTGCACCAGATAAAATTGAGCAAAGGCCTTCCTAGCCACCTGCTCTTTAAGACTCTCCAATTGTGTAACAATCTGAAGGGGGAAGTGCAACCCCATCCAAGGTCAAAGATAGAATCTAGAGCAGACATGTCAAACACAAGGCCCGGGGGTCAGATGCGGCCCGCGACGTGGTTTCATGTGGCCCGCGAAGCCATCCTGGAAACAGTGAGGGAACGGCCCCCGCTGCCGTGGCCCTGGCCCAGGCCGGCCGGGAGCCAATGTACAATTTTGTGGTGGCCATCTATGCTGAAACGCATTCAGTCTTAGCTCCATAAGGCCATCTGGAAACAGCGAGGAACCAGCCCCTGCCGCGTCGGCCCCCGTCCCCTGGGTGCATGCTGGGGAGGGGTCACCCTTTATGAGGAATGAAGAAATGCACCATCACCTGGAAGTGGCCAGCAAATGGCCCTCGCCTACTTCACCTATCCGGCTTGATGGGCTCTGCCCTGGTCCCACCCCCTTCTGCCAGAGACCCTCAGATCTGTCCCATCCTGCCCAGGCCCCCACAGGCACCCTTGACACGAACGATGTAGAGCTGGCCACGCCCACCCAGTAGGCCACACCCACTCCATCCACGCCCACCCAGTAGGCCGCACCCACCCTGGCCACACACACACCGACCCCCCCGAGGGCAACCGCAATGCTGATGCGGCCCTCAATGAAATTGAGTTTGACACCCCTGATCTAGAGAGTTGAAACACTCACAACCACTAGATTAGGGGTCTTCAAACTTGGCAACTTTAAGACTTGTGGACTTCAACTCCCAGAATTCTTCAACAAGCCCTGGCTGGCTGCGGAATTCTGGGAGTTGAAGTCCACAAGTTTTAAAGTTGCCAAGTTTGAAGGCCCCTGCACTAGATCTTGGTAGGAATGTGCTGGAAGTGGTCCCTCCCTATCCAAACTCATTATACTGTAGCCTCCAGGCTCTGGGACAGGACCTTGAGAACCTCACTTCTTTTTTTTTCTATTCTGCACCAGATAAAAAATTATGAATAAGTGTAATAGAACTCTTGCTTAGCACAACTATGAAAGGAAGAAAAGAAATGAAAGCACTTAACGCTCATGAATGATATGCATAATGCATTAAGTGCTTCCACATAATATATTTAATGGAGTTACGATTTTGTTTCTTTGAAACGACTGGAGCTGTGTGAATTAGAATGCTCTGTTGAAATAGAGGAAATATTATTCCTAACTTCAGTTAGTTAATTTTACTTACTTTTTAATCATCATTACAAATGTTGACTCGCTGACATTGCCTTCCAGTAGCTCCTAGATTAGGTTTATAATCTTAGAAAAGCATTAGGAAAGCTCAAAAAAAAATATGGTACGTCTGATGAACACCCCATTAGGAAGATAGACTGTTTCAGTGTCCTTAACCTAGTTGAGGACTGAGAATGTGTAGTTTAAGTAAGTACAAGTAGTCCTTGACATACAACCATTCATAGCTTGACTCCCTCTTCTTTGGGGCAGCCCCTGAGATATTGGAATACGGCTATCATGTCCCCCTTCGTCCTTCTCTTCATTAAACTACACATACCCAATTCCAGCAACGGTTCTTTGTATGTTTTAGCCTCCAGTCCCCTGATCATCTTTGTTGCTCTTCTCTGCACTCTTTCTAGAGTCTCAACATCTTTTTTACATCGTGGTGACCAAAACTGGATACCGTATTCCAAGTGTGGCCTTACCAAGGTCTTGTAAAGCAGTATTAACACGTCATGTGATCTTGATTCTATCCCTCTGTTAATGCAGCCCAGCACTGTGTTGGCTTTTTTGGCAGCTGCAGCACATGGCTGGCTCCTACTTAAGCGATTGTCCACTAGGACCCACTTAACAACAGTGATTCGCTTAACAACTGTGGCAAGAAAGGTTGTACAATGGGGGTAAAATTCACTTAACGTATGTCTCGCTTAGCAACAGAAACTTTGGGCTCAATTGTGGTCGTACGTCGAGGACCACCTGTACTGTTGGACAGTGTTTGAGTTTCAGGACTTAGTGACTGTGGTCTAGTCCAGGGGTAGGCAACCTTGGCTCTTTTATGACTCGTGGACTTCAATTCCCAGAATTCCTGAGCCAGCCATGCTGAGGGGAAAGGGAGAGGTTTCCAAGCTGAGCCATGCTGGCTCAGGAATTCTGGGAGTTGAAGTCCACGAGTCATAAAAGAACCAAGGTTGCCTACCCCTGGACTAGACAGAAGTTTACTTGACGTTTCACCAATATCTGTGGTGGACATTTTCCTCTGAAAGAGGAATCTGTGATTCTGTGATTTGGATTGTTACACTGATGCCTTGTTTATGGAAAAGAACCTTTCGATATCCTGTAATTCAGATACTGGATTTGGATTTAAGGAATTTCTCTCTCTCTCTCTCTCTCTCTCTCTCTCACTCTCTCTTTAGCCTACTAAATGGTGGTGGTGGCTTGACTGGGGCGGAGGGACCGCTTCTCAATGTAAATCAGTTTCCTTTAATAATTAAGTGGTTACTTGTGGACTGGAAGCGGAAGGAATCTGCTTTATTAGTTTTTAATGCTGTATGTACTTTCTGCAGCTCTCCCTGGAATACCAAGGGGAGCCACGGTATATCCTGCTTCTGTCATTCCAGATCACTGTAGCATGGTTTGATCGGCCGCTGCTGATATCCAGAAATTTCAACTACTTCAAAATGTGGTTGTCTAGTTGTGATGGGCAACGTGCCACAGAGTCTTATTACAGTGGTTTTGAAGAAGGCTCATAAATGCCTAAATTATAAATGGAATAGTGGTACAGTATTTGACTTGGTGGTTTTAAAAAGTCAATGTATGTAGGATTAGTATTGTATAACGTTTTGCAGTTATTTATTATATATATTCATATATATTTCACACACTGTATAGGAACATAATAAAGAGTCATATATATTTCAGAACAGGAAGTCCTTAATCTATAATCAGTGATAATTATATATTATGGAATTCAGCTTCTAGTGTCTGGTTTCACAAATTAAAGCTAAACCATAGGTAATGTGGTTTCATTTTAGTTTGTGTGATATGTGAATCCAGCCTCTCTTGTTAGTAACCTGTAGTTTCCACTTAAGAATTATATGTGAAGCAGATCATGGAGAAAGGAAATAGATTGACTTTGTGGTTCTACCCTCCTATCACAACAATCCTCCTTACTATATATACTCTGTTGTGTCAACGCTGCTCACGTCGGATGTTTTTGCTTTGACAACAGTTAGAGATGCAACCATTTTCTTTTTGTGTTTTACTTTTAGAGTTAGAGTTAGATGATGCTGGGGGGAGGAATATACATGAAAGTTTAGCTAGACATAACAGTATTGGACCTAGTGTGTGAACCAAGGTTATTGAAATAAGAGATGATAAGAATTGGCGGGCTGGAGAACTGGAGGGAAAGCCTGCATTTCAAACTAATTGGAGAATGTGGTTTATGACTGTTAATTGGAGGAGGGAATTGTGCTTTGATACTATGTGCTCAGGGGAGGGGAATTCAGTTTTTGGTTTCGACTGTGTTAGTGCCGATGCTATGCTTCTCAAATAAAGATTCTTTAAGGTAAACAATGCCTCGAAGTTCTTTGAAGAGTTTCATCTGTCGGAAACATGACATGTTGGTTTAAACGGAAAACTTTCAGGAAAGTTTCAAACTATTTTCTGTTTTAAAGGTGGGGTTTTTTTTTTTGTCTATTGGATGAATTTTGGAAACATGAGAACAACTTTTTGCATACTTTTTGTTCCTCCTTCTGGCCTAATTTGACTAAGTACCGTTTATTGATTTTACTTAGGCATTTTTTTTTTTAAAAAAAAAATTGATCTGTGAGCTCTTTAATGACCAGGAAGACAGGAAGAAAAGGATAGTGTTTTGATTTTTTTAAAAAATCTTTAAATTCTAGATCACTTTATGTGTAAACGTATAAATTTCACCTAACAGCAGAAATACGTGGTGAGATAGGCTGGCAGCCAGCATAAAACCAATTCAAATGGGAGGCAGATACAATTTTAATTTAATTCCAAAGCTCTTAGAAGCAGAATCTAAATCAGTGATGGCGAACCTTTTAGAGACCGAG